TATCTTTTAAACATCATTATGAATTCATATAACATTTATTTAGGTAACCTTATAATTAACCCAAAAGTTATAAGATATTAAGCCGTCCACTCACCTTGAACTAGCGTATGAAGTTCTACCCTTCTTGGTTGAAATCCGGTGAAACTCCGGCGACTTTTGGTCAACTCCGGCGACAATTCCGGCGACTTTTCCAACTTTGTGAAATCACTTGAAATACCCCTTACAAGTGCCTTAATTTTCACACTTTTTCTAGCCCTTTTTCCTTCTTCAAACACTTCTCTTTGAACCTCCTTCCTTGAGCTCGAGTTCAGCTATGGAGAAAGAGTATTTTGAGAGTTCTTCTTCTCCAAATAATAGGGCTGGACGAGTTGGATGATTGAGGTGAGAGGGAGTGGTTTATTTTGTCTCAAATGACAAAATGTGTGATGGGTGAGGGGTCATCTATGTACTTTGATGCCAAAGCCTCCTCCTCCACACCTTCCCTTGTCAAAACCAGCCCCCCTTGTCTATGCTAGCACAAAAAAACGTGGGGTGGCCCCCACTCATGTGGGAGGTCATCCCAACTTGTCCCGAAATGTACATTCGGTCCCGAAAGTTGTATTTTTCGGACTGTTTTAAATATATTTTATTTTATCGGGTCAAATAAAATATCTTATGTGCTCTTACTCATTATGACATGTATAATGAATATACATTCCCCAACTTTAATTTATAAGCCTCCGAAATTCAGTTCGGGCTGCTATCTGTTGAATTACCAGTACCGGTAATTTGGGCTTCTTTTGACCAATCGGTCGACTCCGGGCCTTTCTATGGCCCAAATGAAATATCCACCACTATATATTTATTATCTAGACCAAGATGAATAAAATATATGGTCTCGGGAATGTCGGGCGGCCCCCGCTCCCGGTGTGGGCCCCACGTGCAATTTACTATTCACGCGAAAGAATAATAAAAATTTATAACTTCGTAAATTCGTAAATCATTCCATAAGGTTTATTACATCATTTACTTGAAAGTAAATACATTTGGGGACGGTGTTACAGCATTCGTGTCCGCAGGTCGCCCGTGCACGCAAGTCGCGGTTCTTCTTCTCTGTTTTCGTGATTTGATTTGCACCCCCTTGCGCGCAAAGAGAACCTTTCCACTCGGGAATCTTAACTCTTTCAAAGAGGGTTCCCTTTATAAGGGGTCGAAAATCCCTTGGATTTTTCGGTGTGGGATAAATCACACTAGAAACCCATCATTTTCCTAGTTTTCTCCATTTCAACGAGTGAACTTCGAGAATCATTTTCTCATTCACCCGTTATCCATTTTGAGCGTACCACATATCGAATTGTAGCACTTAATAAGGACAATCTGAAACCACTTTGACCTTACCCAAATCGGAAGTGGATCTCACTCAAAATATTGCCCCAAAATAACCATTTAATGCAATTAGCACATTTTCCAACACACTTTACAAGTTGTTGTGAACAAATCAAGCTCTTATGTGTATATACTAAGTGCCACTTATTTAGTGGGAGGTGAGGTGTATATATAAGAGAACACACATTTCAATCTGCACAGTAAATATGCATAATATAGAACTCACAGTAAATCTGCACATTAGTAAATCTGTGAGTTCTATATTCTGCACATAGAACTCTTTAGTAGATCACACTACATTCTGCATTTTTACAAATTTTTGAAACGGTACGATTTTGGTTCGGGATAAAATTCTATAGAAGTTTTTAAATACTCAACAGTCAGTTCAATACCATTACGATTCGGTTCGATACCGGTTGAGTTCGATTTTTATGCCCACTCCTACCGGTGAACATAAACCTTGCGTGAAACCGTTCCCAAATGAGAGGGGAAAATTTTAATTTATGAACTTCGGAATATTCCTCGAAAGAGTAGCGAAAATTAATGACCTAACAGTTTGGTCAATTTTTAGCTAAGAAGAATATTCTGGATTAAGGAACTCCAGACATCGAGAGTTGCAATCTACTTTGAGATTAAATGCATTTCATTTTAATTTTTCTTTTCCGTATCAGGCTGAGTTGCTCAAGATCATCTATCAGTGCAAATTGTCGATATATTGCGGCTATTATAACTCTACAAGTGCATAATTTGTACATACGGAGTATAGATTAAACCGAACATATTTACACCAGACATGTAAAATGCACTTCATTGTAAATTGTACAGAATCTGTACTTTCATCATATTATAGGCATTCAAAATATTCCAACTTGTAATTCTATTAAAATAATTATTTTTCCATATACCCGTGTTCCCAAACAATACACAATTCGGTATAATTGATATGTAACTTCCCTCCCAAACTAAGATAATTTCAATCATCTTGTTGATAACTTATGTGAGTGGTTGCTGAAAAACAATGGGATTTTATTAATTATTGGTATCATAAGAGCATGATGAAATGTGTATGTATTACACTGCGATTTACGTATGAACTATTTTTGGTGTACCCATTTTGGCTACCCCATTTGTACCCCACTATTTGTGTGGTTCATAAAAGTTCAACCATGAATTAATTTTCCCACTATTATGAATTGCCTTTTGTGAACCACACAAATAAGGGTATAAATGAATACCCCAAAATGCAGTACTTCTAGTATTTTTCTTTACGTATATGCCCATAATAATTAATTATGTAATTACATATATTTCACTCCTCAATTGGCACTACTATATGACACATGGCACTTTTACTCAATGCACTCATTCGATTTTGCCGACCGTTATTAAAAATGAATAGACATGTATTCTTATTTTTTATCTAAGGCCTTTTTATTGGAACCAATCCAATTTCATATAAATATGTCTCCATTAATTTCATACGGATTATATTATGTTTTTCATGGTAATCATCCTTTCAATGTTTTTTCGTATGTCTTTTAACGGGATAATATATTTGGCAAAATAATTAATTAGTAACCTTCAAATTTTGTTACTCCCTAACATTATTTGAATGAATGTTGTCAATTTCAATTATAATCTTACCATTTTGGGATTTCCGATACCGAATTTCGAAATAAACATTGTAGACAAAGTTGTAAACATAAATTCTACATTATTGTCAAAGTACTTGATCTCAATATATTAATCGAACAAATTATTAATTTTGTTTTGAAAATGTCTAGGGATAATGCTAACATTAATAAAAACTAAGGTATGACGAAAAACATACTTAAAAACATCTGATAAAACGAAAGATATTAATTTTGCTCTCCTGGCATGTGACAAATTTTCTAAAAGTGTAAGAGTATAATATTATTAGCATATCTGGATCTTAGTGAAATGAAATATCAGAAGTGCACAATTTTAGAAAAATGGAAAGTGGAACTTAAATATTATGTAATATTAATTTGATACCATTTTAATCATGTCGTAAAAATTAAAAACGTCGCACCACAAGAAAAATCATCTATAAATACCATCTAAAAGTATCCACACCATACTTATCTCAACATTCTATTCAACCAAATATTATATTGATTTTGGCTTGGAGAAATGTCTAGCAACAATGGGAATAAGAGGGTTAGTAGGGGACGACAAAGGATCCCTCTCACGAAGATCGAGAATGAGATCAATCGCCAAGTAACATTTTCAAAACGTCGTTCCGGTATATTCAAAAAAGCTAGTGAGTTGTCAACTTTGTGTGGTGTGGATATTGCTATGGTGGTATTTTCACCTACAAATAAGGTTTATACTTTTGGAAGTCCGAGTGTCGACATAGTACTTAACAAATACTTTGGTGAAAACACTACACAAGAGACTGCTGTGATAGATGAGATTCTTCGTGCACGTTCTCAAGACAACATGAGCGTCATTACACCCCAAATAAGTGAAATGGAATCTCTCGTTCATGATCTAATGAAAGAAAATCAAGGACACTGTGAATCTGAAAAATGGAGACCACGTATTTCGAATCTACAATTACGCGAGTTGGAGCATATGAAATATAGCTTGGAAGCACTCCGTACTCAAACTTATGAAAAACTAAAGCATCCCTTGATGCAAGTTCAAACTCGTGACCTGGTCACTCCAATGGATAGAGGCCCATTCTCATCATATTCTCGAGTCAATAATGATGGTTGTGGACCAAGTGGAACTAGCTAGTTCATACCTGAAATGGTTCTTTCAGCATCATGCACGGATGAGGAGAGTTATTTTTCTAAATTCATATCCATTAAAATTTCTATGTTATGTGTGATTGTCATCATCAATAAAAAAAAAAGAACGATAATTATGTAAGCATGAATAAAAAAAAGTCATCATCAATAAAAATATCTCTACATTATTTTTTTGAAGCAATTATATTTTGCATTTGGAGGGGTTAATACTTGATAGGCACGTTACTTTGTATACACAAGTTATATACGTAGTATGTGAGCAAGTTCCCCTTATTAGACTACAATTGGCAGGACAATAGAATATTAGAATGTCCTCATCACACAAACCTGGTCTGCCAAACGAAATTATGGTCATGACAAGTTAGTGATAGATGGACTGTGCTTTAAATTTTACGGAGTAAAGTTTTATTAAATTTTTAATCATAAGATTTCAACGGGAACTTGGTTTAAATAGAAAAAAGTGTAACATTTGAAATTTAAATGAATGAAAGCCATGCGTTTTGGTCAGTTAACTTGGTCTGCAATACAATACACATCTATTTTGGTCCTTGGCTGGTTTCTTAAGCACTTTTACCATATAATACCCGCAAGAATTAATCATTATGTATTAAAATATCAAACATTCAAAGCGGAACAAAAATGTTGCATAATTATGGAGTAAATTTCAGATGGCTATCCACATTTTCAACGGGCCAAACAGGCGTCAAATTTCTAAATTCTAAATATAGCAGTTTAATCTCAACCAGAACCAAAATAATTAGTCTAAATTGTCTAATACCACTGATGGATCATGAGTGTACACGAGAGAAATGGAACAAAAAGTCATTCATATATGAAAACCCTTGTTGAATCATATCGGGAGAAGTGAAATCTATTATTGACGCTAACCGATGTTTCAGACTTTTAGCAAATATATAGCTTTGTCTAAGAAGGAAAATACCCAGAAAACTACAAATCTAACTTTGTTGCCTTGTAAAAGTATATGTAATGTTCAAAAATACGAGCTCAGACCAGCCCTGTTGTTAGTGTTTATACTGACACAATTATGTTTTAATCCTATGCTTCAAGGACGTTTAATCTTGCTTCTAACAAAAATCTAGGATACCGGATACGCCATTGGCTCTTGGAGTTCCGATCATCAATGGTCTCATCCCATCTTCATAGTTTGCTAGTACCAACTCTGGCTTTTCTATGGTACATTGGTACATACTTGGCTTTTTGTACATACTATGAATAGGAATAGTGAAAGCATTATTTTATGTTGTATTGGCTTATAGTATACCAGCTGCTGTATGAGCTTACTATGAATAGGAATAGAGAGAGCATTATTCTATGCCTCATTGGCTTATTGTATACCAGTTGCTGTATGAGCTTACTATGAATAGGAATAGAGAGAGCATTATTCTATGCCTCATTGGCTTATTGTATACCAGTTGCTGTATGAGCTTACTATGAATAGGAATAGAGAGAGCATTATTCTATGCCTCATTGGCTTATTGTATACCAGTTGCTGTATGAGCTTACTATGAATAGGAATAGAGAGAGCATTATTCTATGCCTCATTGGCTTATTGTATACCAGTTGCTGTATGAGCTTATTTTGAATAGGAATAGAGAGAGTATTATTATATGCCTCATTGGCTTATTGTATGCCAGCTGCTGTATGAGCTAGTAAGATCAATACAATTACCAAACCCAAGGGGTTATATTTAATGTGATCTGCTTCTTCATTCCAGATTCTATAAGCACAAACATTATTCGCAAGTCCAAATATATCATCACCCTGAAGTGAAATTCTTCAACCTAAGCTAATAGAGAACCTTCCATCACCACAACAGCTTTCCCTTGCAGAAATACTCTATTCTTCTCCTCATCTATACGCACGTTCATCACACCACTTCTAGGTGATGCCTGAACCAAGCAAAGATACAAGTCATTATGCTAACCAACTTATGTGCAGATAGAATTCTAAAATTGAGGTATACCGCATAAGAATTTAAATTGTTTTTCTTTAGCAGCTTGTGCCAATAGGAAGCCAATGCACAATGAGCAATTCCACAAACAGGATCCTGAAAAAAAGGAAAAAGTGTAAACCAATACCAATCGCCTATAAGTTTTCCTGCAAGTACAAGAACAAAATAAAATAGATACCAGTATATCTGGGAAGGAATAACTTTTTGTAGCATCTCAGGCTTGTTTGGTTCGTAAATTACAAAGAGAAGGAGAAAGGAGGATTGATTTTCACTCTATTTATCTGCATTTGTTCAATTATACTAAAAATAACTCAATGATTAGTTGGCTTGTGTGATTGTATATAGTATATTTATCCACTATATTTCCAACCACTTACAGGTAAAAAGAAACTAACAAATTAAATATCACAACTCCCCTTCCCTCCAGATTCCCTGAGCAAATATGCTGTTTAAGGATTTGAATCACATTAAATAACACCAAAAAGACCAAACAAGCTGGGTAATCCTTGATCAGATTGAATCCCATAATAAGGGATCAACCCCTGAAACAAAGCCCCCCCCCCCCAGCAGCATTCCATTATGATTTATGAGACCTATTTCTACCATTACCTCTGGAACTCCCAGTTTGGGGCAAAAGAAGCGGCAGTAAAAATCAAATCCAGATCCTGGAGGACCAGGTCCTGTAACAATTACACCTCTGCCAGTGCATTTTTGTATTTCATCAATTTGTGGTTGTAATCCTGCAACTGCATCGCCTGATTGGAGCACAACCTGCAGGACACAAACCATAACCGTATGTGCTAAATCTTGTTAATAAAGTGCTTAATGTCATGCATTTCTCCCATTACCACTTCAGTATTTCCTCCTTCCTGTATTTGGCTTATGATATTTTGTTGTTGAAAAAGTACACTCAATCATAATGACATTAAATTAAATATTAATAACTGACTTCATATATTTAGAAACTTAACTAAAATTTTATTCAACATTAAAAACTGAATTCAAATGTGATAACGGAATTGGTATATAAAATCAGTTCTAAAAGTGAATTAATCTGACTATGAATAATGAATCGGAACATTATTCTAGAACAGTGAGAGTGATTCCTTTTGTATGTTATCATTTCATAACATGACAGTGCAGTTCTTTAGAGTGTTCGTAATTTCAACTACTACTAATGAGATCATCGTACATAAGATGGACATACTTATCAGGCTCGCTTGAATACCAGCAAGTCTATGACATAAATGAAATGCAGCATAGGGAAATCGAAAATACGTACAATGAGGTCATCCCGGTCGGTCTTCTTTATCTCAACCACACATGCTTTGTCAAAGTTTTTCGCAATTGTTGGAATCTCAGATAAGTTGGTCTCCAAGACATGGATAATTGGAAAGTTTAACTCAACAAAGAACCCTCCATCCTTTTCTGGAATTCTTTTAGCAGTTAAAATCCCAGATAAGGTACAGAACTCAATAACATCAGTTTTGACAAAGCCATTAACAAACAGGAAATAGGCAGCTGCTAGAGTGGCATGTCCACATAGATCTATCTGCAACCAGTATGGCATTTTACAATCCAATCACATCATTTATAAGTTAGCTCGACAAATATTTACCTGAGTTTTTGCCATTTTCGGTCCCTCGACTATGTCAGGGACATTTTTGGTACTCGGCTTTCAATTTTTCCATTTTTAGTTTGTGCGAGAGACACTTTTAGTCGATGACTTCCAAGTTTTCCTCATTTAATCCCCTGAGTATTATCAAATTGACACTTTTAGTCCTTCCACTATGACTTTGACACAATAAGTGGAGGACTAAAAATGTCACCATTTAGTTAAAGATTAAAAATGTCACTTTTATGAAAGTCAAGGATTAAATGCGGAAATTTTCAAACACGGGTATTAAAAGTGTCTTTAGCACAATAGTAGAAGGACTAAAAGTGGAAAAACTCAAAATCAAGTATCAAAATGTAGGTAACATAATAGTTGAGGACTAAAAGTGGCAAAATATCATATCTGCCTCAAAAAAAGCCAATGGGTCAATTTTAAAATTGAGATCAGACACATAACATTGTTTACATCTACTATGACATTAAAGCACAGCAGCAGCAGCATTCAATTACAGTAACATCTTTAAGATATGGTGGAGGTGGAAATGACCTCGGCAACGGGAGTGAACCAGCGAAGATGGAATTTGGAGCTGTGAGGCTCCGGGGCAATGATTCTAGTCAGGTAACAGGTCTCTGAAATGTTGAACTCCCGAGCAACAGCTTGCAGCCACTCATCATCTCTTTCTTCTTCTAACAGAAGAACAGCCGCCGGATTCCCTTTGAGAGGCAAGTCCGTGAACGCGTCTACCTGTACAGAAAATCCGAAAATGTCTCGACTCTTGTAGCTATGTAATATGAAAGGCAGACAGAGTGAAGATGGTATTGGAGATTACCACACTGTATTTTACGGGCATCTTCGTCGCCGTGAGGACTGACCGAGAAAGGAATGAATGGCTGGCTTAGGACCAGAAAGGCAGAAACTAGTGTCACAGAGTCTAATATTTTTATCGGCCAAATTACCACTTTCATTATCTTTTTTAACTACCACTTTCGTATTGAAATAAAATGTTAGTAAGTTAAAATTTGCAATTAATTTTTCAAAATTAAAATGACGATAGAAAATGAATCTAAAATTTAATATATTTATATTAATTTTATTTCTTATTATTTTTAATAAGTTTTGGAAAAAGTTTTAAAGGACTAAAAATGTCAATTTTTAAATACTTAGAATATGAAAGGTTGAGAATTCTAAAGTCGGGGATCAAAAGTTTATCACTTACAAAAAATTGACCAATTTGTCACTAAGGTTTCTTTTTTTACCAATATGTCTCAAGTGGTTTTTTTTACCAATCTGTCCAACGATTCTCTTTTTTTTCAATTGGTAATATTGAAGGAAAAACCCATATTATTATAAAAATAAAGCAAAAAAGAAAAATTAAAAAAACGTCATACTTCATATGAAAAACTTTTAGATGAATAATATTGATTGTTATGAAGATAAATTTAATAATAAGGATGTTTTCTTTTGAATTGTTTTCATTGTCAGACCAAACCAGATCGTACTTAAGCAAATCAGATTAGATCAAATCAGACTTAAAAAGATCAAACCAGTCCGGACTTGGATAGTTATAAAATACACAGAGACCAAACATTACCAGACCACACCAGACTTAAATAGATTAAACCAGGTCAGGTCAGATTAGACCAGACCAGACCAGACCAGACCAGCAAATTACAGTCCAAAAGAAAACATCCTAAGTACAATAATATATTGAAGATACAATGGTTATTAAATATTGAAGATAAAAGATACTGATATAATTGGTACCAACAATTAGGGGGGTGTATTATATTAGGAACTAGTGGCAAAATTTTAAAAGTCCATGGATTTTAAATGTTTAGGTGTATTCAATGTGGACTTTTAAAAGTCTAAAAAAGTCTAGGTGTATTCAATGCAGAATTTTAAAAGTCTATAAAAGTTTAGACGTATTCAAAGTTTCGTTCATTTTTATTGACTTCTAAAATCATGGATTCTCGTGGACTTTTAACTCAATTTTAGTGCAAAAAATCTCTGCAATTGTCTCTTCTCCTCACTAAAGATTTCCGTAGACTTTTCTTGTATCAGTTCTTCATCCCGTCCCACCCCATCCCTACCCTCCCCCAACTCTCCTCTTCTTTAGCCAAGCCACCCCTTCCCCTTCGATTTTTCTTCTTCTTCTTCTTCTTCTTCTTCTTCTTTTTCAGCCCAGCTCACCCCACCTATGGATGGCCCGGTTCCGGTTTGGCCGGCCCGGGAACCGGACCGGCCCGCCACAGTGCGGGACTGGCCCGCCACAGTGCGGAACCGGCCCAGTGAACTGGGACCAGTTCCGGGCGTAGGACAATCTCAGTGAACCAGGACCAGTTTTGGGCCTAGGACCGAAATAATATATATATATATATATATATATATATATATATATATATATATATATATATATATATATATATATATATATATATATATATATACAACCCGGTCTGAGCCTGGTGGAATCCCGGGCCAGTTCCGGGCCTTTACCCTCACCCAAATAGCCCAGTTTGGACCGGCCTGGCCTCTCCTTATGTTCTTCTTCTTCAGCTTGTCGGCCCCACGCCCCCACCCCACCCCCTCGATTCATTAATCGCATATCGATTCGATTCTAGAAGCTTTTAGAAGAACCGGTATAAGAATCGACAGTATTACATCAATGCAATTCTGGTACGTCGTCAGTTAACCATTCAGAAAATAAATATTTTAACTATCACTTTCTTTCATCATTAAATCGCTTAAGACATAAAAATATAATTTCAAATTAATAAATATATAATCATAAATACATATACAAGTTTTTACAAGATAGGAATTAAAAGAAAACAATCATTAAGGAGAAAAGCTTGATTCATCTATGCGTGTACCACATGCAGCAATGAGTGTAACGCTTGTGTAACGATTAATGTTCTTAATCATTCATAAAATGGTCAAAATTCTTGAGCATTCTTGAAACTTTGAGTTTTTTTTTAATAAAAATAAATTTGAATTCTTATACTTCATTTATATTTGTAGAACTTTGTGTTGCTATATGAATTACATTTGTTTCATTCATTTATTTATTTTATTTATTTATTTATTTGTTTGTTTGTTTGTTTGTTTGTTTGTTTCTTATCGTACTCCGTATTTAGTGTTGTTATGGAAATCGAGCTCGGCTCAAACTCGGCTCGACTCGACTCTGTAAAGCTCAGACTCGACTCGTTTATTCCAGGAATCGAGTCGAGCTCGAACTCATTGTTTTACTCGATAAGATTAATGAGCCGAGCCGGCTCGACTCGAAAAACCCGATAAAGCTCGTGACAAGGCTCGTGGGATGGGTAAAATTGCCATTGTATCACATATTAGGTTTAGCCGTTTAGGCCCGTGTAGACTTGTAGTTAATAAGTGAGTTTTCGAGTTTGAGTTGTCGAGCTCGAGCTCGAGTAGCTCGACTCGGGTATATTGACGAGTCGGGCTCGGGCTGTAAATAGGTTTAACGAGCCGAGTTCGAGCTCAAATACATAATCGAATTTTAACGAGCCGAGCTCAAGCCTGGCTCGAAAAATGTGTGAGTCGAGTTCGAATTTGTGATACTCAGGCTCGGCTCGGCTCGAATAACAGCACTGTCCGTATTATATAGAGGAAATCACTCACGGTAAGACTAAAAATAGCATTATTCTCAAAGTGTGATTATATGTTTGATTTTTCTTAAATAGGAATAAATATTACATATTCACCCCTAATTTAATTAATTAATTGTTCACAGTTCCCTTTCATAACCAACGACATTTTGTTGGTGGTGGATCAGTCTGATGACGATAGTGGTGAACTCCGGTGATGGAGACGGACTGGTCACAAGCATATCAGTAGCGACAATCTAGGTGAAAATTCTGACGATCGGAAGTGGCAGTCCGCATTTAAATGTCTATGGACTTTTTGAAAGTCATTAAACTTATCAATGAATTTAAAAGTTCATAGAATTCATTCATAAAAAAGTCTATGGATTTAAAAGTCCATTGACTTTTTTAAAAGTCCACGGATTATAAAAAGTCCACAACAATCCTTATTCAATACACCCCCCTAATTGAAGAGTCAAGTATTTTGTAGTCTGATGGCATCATTGTAACATTTCCAAAAAGGTGGTCACATGTTCGAATCTCATCGCAGTTCAAGAATGTTGGCCTTAACAGAATAGATATTATCCAATGTTATTAGAAAGATTCCCTAAAAAAACAATTAATTGAAGATCAACTTAACAATAAATACACTAACATTTTTTATATGCAATGATTATTAGCACTCCCGGATAAAAGCCCTTTACGTAAAATAATAATCATGCATCAAGATTAAATTATAAATAAGGGTAAATTTTGAAAATTAGTAATTTTAATGATTGAAATCAGTAACAATTTAAGTATAAATCGATTTCGATTGAAATAAATCTTACTCCGTACTTTATTAGTACTAATTACTACAGTAGATTGATAACTCTCAGACATTAACCTAGCATCACATTTATCTCTTAGCCCTATATCTATCTCATATGCATTATCTTGTACGTGAGTTGGGATAAAAAGTGTATGGGAATGAGATACTCCGTAAAAGGGCAGAGATAATGTGATAGCCAAAATCTAATGGATTATGAGTACTTGTGCAGTGCTGGATTCCTTCCAAAAGAAAACACTAAAACAGGTACTTCGTATAATATGGCCCATGCATGATTATAGTGTTTAATTTGTGCGTGATGATAAGCCAATAATTTTAGCTCGCACATGCACTGATGCACTTCAGAGGTGCCCTTTTAGGATGTTTTTACTTGGACGGTAATTTGCTGGTCTGGTCTGGTCTGGTCTGATCTGGTCTGGTCTGAACTGGTCTGGTCTGATCTGGTAAGGTCTGGTTTCTTTGTATTTTTATAACTATCCAAGTCTGGTCTGGTCTGGTCTGAACTGGTCTGGTCTGGTCTGGGGCAAATTACAGTCCAAGTAAAAACATCCTTATTTGTCACAGTAATATGGCCCAGTAAGTAGTAATGATAAGTGCTACTACGTATTTGAGGAGTTTAGATTTATTTCTAAAAATTAATTCTGCTTCTTCAGATGGGGAAAATAGATATTGGAGTGTTTGAGTGAAAGGGTAGAAGTATTGAGCACTTCAAAATGCTCCTAGAAGTATTTTTTTAGAAGCTGGGAGAACCAGCTTCTGAAAATTGATTTTGATTCTACTTCTATTTTAAAAAAAAAGAAGCAGAAGCAAAATCAATTTCAAACCCCCTTCATAGGGCTGGACTCGGTTCGGGCCGGGCCTAGGCCCAGTCGGGCCTCCGGTCCTATAAAGGGGGGCCCGGAACCGGCCCGTCCTTCGCCCGGTGCCGGTTCGGGCCGGGTCACCCGCCGGGCCCTTGTCCGGGCCACCCGCCGGGTCGGGCCTAGGTTATTTTTTTTAATCTTTTTAATACAACTTAAATATGAAATACATTTTTCAAAAAATACTAATACAATAAATTCTAAGTTGTAAGTTGTAAGTTGTAAGTTTGTAACCAATTAATTAATTAATTAATTTGAGAAGTGCTGCATATAAAAAAAAAAGAATGTATATTTATTTGAAATATGAAATACAACTTTACAAATTACAATAGAGAATTGAAGGGAAAATTAAAACATGAAATACATTTTATAATACTTTAATATATATAAGTAGATAATAGGCAGAGATTAAGTAGATAAGGAATATAAGTAATATAATATATGTATGTAAAGTAGATAATTAATAATTTAATATATAAGTAAATAACAATAAGTATATATGATAAGTAGATATCAAAGTAAATATTAAGAAGATAATAAATATATATTAAGTAGATAATAAATATTAGTAATATAATATAGGTATATAAGTAGATAATTAATATATAAGTAGAGAGGTTTGGAGAAGATGAAGATGGAGATGATTATATTAAGATTT